ATTATGTAATCTCGTACGTCTGGTTTGATTGATGAAGTTAATCTAGATGCTAGAGGGAGAGGTAAGAACCATCACTGGGTTGACAAGTTGAGTTACCTTTTCTTGAATGGCGGCTCAACACTCTATCCTTTAACTTTTAATCAAGCATGAGTAGACCCTACTTAACTTTATATGGTGCTAAGAATGGCGATAATCCCTGACGATGCCGGAAAAACGTCTGGGAACGTACTACGTCCACGGTCCGACTTTGGATTATTCATACAATGGACTCCGAACAAGGTGCGTTCCTCTAAGGTCAAACAATTTCTTATTTTGTATGTTTGGAAATAAAGAATTGATCCCTTCATCCTACACTCTCATACAAAATGAAAACTATAGATATATCGAAATCCAGTGACTCTTAATGAATGCAGTAAGAGTCAACCTAGAATCAGATTCAAATAAATCGTCAGGGTGGGTCCGTCTGGGGATATATATAGGAAGGATAATAAACTTCTTAATAGCACACCATAATAGATGCTAAGTTCAGGATCTGGGTCTATTCCGAATCTACTTGGCTGTCAAACCGAGGTGGAGGCCCAATATACGTTGGTCTCCAGTACAAGGGTTGTGCATGTTTCTGTTATAGGATGCTCATTAAATACCTGGCAGGGGTAGTTATTAACCAATATTCACAAGCACAACTAAGTATAACTTTACAGTTAGATGTGAGACAAGTGAGACAAGAGTGCAATTTACTTGATTCAGAAGTGGAGATTTGAAGTTGTCCATCTACACACTAGCTGTTCCAGATGAAGCCATACATAAGCACCCAGAGAATGAGAGAATGGGGAAGGAAAGATAACTGCGAAATGAAGTTTAGGAAGTTTAGGAGAGTGCAGGCGTGAGAAACACCGTTTATAAAATACTCGAAGATGACGTAGACGGAGACCGAAATCATGGACAGCCAATTATACAAAGATTTTGGAATGTAGCAAGATACAGCTAACAAGTTGGGTAGAGAGAGCTAGATGTAAGTGCGTATTGAGCCCAAGAAGCCCCGTAAATGGCATATAAAACCAATGGCGAGGGTAGTGGCGCTTCACCAAATCCCTTGAAGTGGCACTTTCAGAAGACATTAAAGCAAACGAAGACAGATAGATAAATTGACTAAAGAAGTGAGGTTGGGGTCAGATCAGTGAGATGCTAAAGCGGTTTAACATAAAATAAGGAGATTGTCTGGGTGTGTACCAAGGTCCAATGCTCTAAATTGCAATGAATACTATGGGAAAGGACGCTTCGAACAAGTTGCTCAAATGAGGCTGAATCAAAACTATGCAGCTAAAGGAGTGACTAAACTTGAAGCAACATTGTCTTGGTCTTCGTAGCTGCGATCGAAAGGTAAGAGATGCGCCGTCTCAACCCTATCATAGGACCTCAATAACTTCTCTTGCGTAAATGAAGTGAGATTTCTATTAGAATTCATGTAGTGTCTTATTGCACCAAGTTTAAATCACAGGTTCTATCAGTCACAGCCTTACTGTATACTAGCAAATTAGTAAAATAATTCCATAACTTTTGAGCAAGAGACTTGCAATAGCTATCGCCGTGAAGGCGACGAGAGAAATGCTTCAAAAAGTGATTTATCCCAAATACTCATCTGTGCTACAGACGCATTAAATGCAAGTTGCTGACCTTTTGAAGAATTGTGGATCTCCAAGCAGAGCGAGCATCCGAATCAACTGGATTACCAGCCGGTGATTCCGGTCCCACACTTCGACAGAATGAATCCTCGTCGCCTTTGGCATCCGGTATACGAAAAGATGAACGCGAAGAGGTATTATGAGCAAGAGCCGCGTCGGCGGCAGAAGTCATGTCATGGAGACTAGAGGCTGAGCGTTGAAGTATGCTTGCACGGACTTGTTCTGGTAACTTGAGACGTCGCCACTCATCACGACGAACAAAGAATCCAGGAGCTTTATCAATAGACTGAGATCCAACCTGGGGACTATGAGAACCGTTAAGCATAAGAGAATCAGAGAGTTTGGATAAACTCCCGACTGGTGAAAAAGGACCAGGATCTTCGTCATTGAATCCAGAAAATAGCTGAAGATAGTAAGTACAACAATTTTATTTGAACACAAGATTACGAATAGATACGTACATAAATATGTAGCACATACGTACGACTGGTAGATATGATTATTGGGAGTTGCATAAACGTAGCTATGATCTTTGCAATATAAACATACAATCTCGACTATGCTAAAAGGAGATTATCGCCGGGACGAAGTGAAATGTTAAAGCTGTCTGAGATAAGAAGTCGAGTTTATAGGTGCTAACCGATAAACTATAAAATAAGCGGTACTGTCACATTGGAGGTATGTCATTCAATGCAAAGCAGAATCAAGTATAATAGAAAACATGTATGCCTTATCAGCAAATTGCCACCGAAAAAGATATGAGACTTTCAATTTTAAATCCAGTATAGAATGATAATTATACCTAGGCGAGGCCGAAACCAGACTTCATACCGAACAATAGCCCACTAAGAATTTTCAAAATGGGGCTCTAAGGCGAAGAAATGCACATTTAATACAACGCAAGCATACCGGCTGTCCCAACTTAAATGCTATTCCATCCCTCAAATTTTGTATCGATTGCATTGAGAAATCTGGTAATTCCTCATTGAAGGAAATATTATGTTCTTTTATATGAAGAAAAGCTGGGCTTAGAAAAATCCCTTGGCATACCTTTTATTTCGTTTGATAAGGAAAGTGAAAGGGATTCGTAGATTGGTCTCATCACATACTGGAGGATTGCCTTGGACTTTTGTCTGAATTGTGCGAAGTAGACCTCGGCTCACTTTCGTCGGGATGGTAGGACAGTGAGCCTAGGTCTACTTCGCACAGCTCAACAGACAAAAGTCAAAGGCAGTCCTCCGGTATCTGATGAGGCCAATCTACGAATCCCTTTTACTCGCCTTCTCAAACGAAATTAAAGGTATGCCAATATCGTACTGTTGGACATTAAAATTAGTTGGGATAAATTTGGAGATGATAGCCCTTAAAACTACTGCCAGCATTCAACAAAAAAAATTAAAAAATATCTAAAGGCTTATATATAGTAAATATTCGATACACTTGCTTCACAAAATTATCCAGTAGGACGATATGGAATCCACTAGTTACCTGTACAACCTAATTTTACTCTGTAATGCAAAAAGAACAAAAATACAGAAT